GTATCGCAGTGAAAGAGTATGATTTTGATGCTTAGAAGTTTGCTTGAAGTCTGTTAGTAAACAAACAAACAAGTAAACAATGGGAAGAGGTAAACAAACAACGTTACAGTGTGCAGAGAGTGAAATTTTTTCGGTAAGCTGATACTGAGCGTGAAAGGAGAGAGAAAATTATGTTTAAAACAAAATGTAAACAAGCAAATGGGCAAATAAAATAAACAAACGGGTAAACAAGCGAGTAAACAAGTAGCGCTTCGAGATATAGCGTTATTTGCAGCCACGTGTGGTACCAGTACACGTATTTTTCTCTTCACTGGGGATTGCGTAACTTGATTATATCGCAATGAAAGATCGCGATTTTGGCGCTTAAGAATGTGCGTGTAGTAAACTAGTAAACAAACAAACAAGTGAACATTGAAAAGAGGTAAACAAACAGTGTCGCAGTGTGTGGCGGGTGAAAATTTTCGATAAGCTGATATTGAACGTGAAAGGGGGGGGGGCAATAATGCTTAGGACAACAAGTAGACAGGCAAAGGGGTAAACAACATAAACAAACAGACAGGTAAACAAGCAGTAAATAAATGGCCTGTCAAGATTTAGCGATATTTGTAGCCGTGTGTGTAGTATTAGCACACGTATTTTTGCCTTCATTAAGGATAGCGTAACTTGATTACGTTGCAGTGAAAGAATACGATTTTTCGTTAAAATGCAATGCTGTGTGGTCGTCTGATGCAGTCGCATATCGTTGCATCACATGCGCCTACAATCCATGTATGTTTTCTTGGAAAAAATAACACAAAAAAGTGAGTAGAATAATGAAACAGTGATCTTTTTGAAGCGAAATAAGAGTAGGGATGGATGGGAGGACCGGCAAACACATGGGGTCGTAAAAGAGAGGAGGGGGCTGGAATAATTACTGGAAAGGAACTGAGATCTTGCTTGGAGGTAGGAATTGGAGAGGGAACGCGACTTACTGCCACCTGTGGTGCCACGTCTCGTTGAATTGTTGGTTTCCTCCTAAGCAAACAAGTATTCCATGTTTTACTGGAATTA